TGTAGATGCTGGGTGTTTTCCTCTGTCTATATATTGAAACAGGGTCTCTCACTGAACATAGAGCACACTGATCCAGTCAGACTGACTGGCCCACATGTACCAGTGATCCACTTGTCTCTGTCCCCTGAGCAATGGGAGTTCCAAGCATCCTGTGGCCACATTTGTCTTTTCTATGGGTGCTGATATGCAAATACAAATCTACATGCTTGGTTGGCAAGCATTTTGCCCACAGAGATATCTCTCCAGAATTCCTTTCCTTTTAAGCCTGCCAATATTCCACTGCACGCACTACAGACACAAGTGTGTTTACCCCTTCATCACTTCATGAACCTTGGAACTGTTGCTGTAGAAGACTGTGTGCTTTACTGCTTTCACATATCCCTAAAGGGAGCTTAGATTTGACCCTCGATGTCTGAGAAAACAACAGGAATGGGAAGACCATACTCAACTTTCCCTGGCCTTTGTCCCGCAAAGCAGAGCCCAAGACTCTCACCAGAAAGCTATCTTCCATTTACATGAACAAATATTTTCTCTCTAAAGATCCAGACAAGAATCTGACCCTAAATCATGGCATCAACCCCTCTTCATCCTACCATACTTCCTCACAACCATCTCTACCTAACCTAGTACAAAACACTCAAATTTGCTCGTTTTTTGGGGGACTTCATTTCTGATGACTTCCATACCACATGCCATTGATATGAGATAAATGTATATGTTTATCTCTGGCTAATCCGCCTTTCATTTGAAGATTCATCTATGAGCCTTAAATGGTTATAGATATCATACTTGCCTTTCTTTACCTTATCCTCTCCTCACCTCTGGTCTATAGATATGGCATTCTTCATAGACATTAATAAAGGGAGAAAAGAGAGGATTGCCAAGCAGGCCAACACAAGTTTGTCAACATGAGTCTTGTCACTCTAGATGCCATTGTCCAGGAAATTGAGACTGTATCTGTGCCTAGTTTTCTAGTTGCTGGAAGTGGGGAAAGGCATTGATCCCAACAGAACATGGAGAAAGAGAAAGAAAAGAAGACACCCCATGTCTGGAGTGTATTCTTGCTTTACTTTGAAAGAAGAAAGTACTTAAGATTAGCCCAGATTAATGGACTTTTTCATGAGTCCCCAACCAGCATAAAATGGCCATATACATAGTTTGTTTTTCATCTATATTCAACATACTACCTCCACAATAGTGAATCATCCAATTTCCCCTTTTATGTCAGTAAAAAAAAAGTGTAAATCTTTACAGTAAAGGTGGGAAGAACCTAACATTGTACTGTCACCCAGAATCACCCATTACTAGCAGTTTGTTACATTGCCTTTGTATTTCTCACCAAGCAACTAGCATCTCTTTTTTATTTATCACCTGTCTATCACCTGTCTCATGTTTTGAACCATTAACAAGCTGTTCACACACCCAACAGTCCCTCCTTTGACACCCTAGTATCTCCCCAGGAACAAGGACATTTTTCTTCATAGCCACAGAGCATTTATCATGCTCAAGACATTGAAAATATATACCCTGTGACTCTCTTAATTAACAATTTATATTCAGTCTTCCACACGATTCCAAAATAAGCCTGCACATTTGTGTTTATATATAGATATTTATGTGAGCTTGTGTGCATGTGCGCACATGCACACACATATGTATATGAATATGACTTAATATGGACATATAGATGTGTATTCCTGTTAGAGGTCTGACAAGGGATTCAGTGTAGCATGTGGTTGTAACTTGTGGTAAGCCTCTCTGAGGGTCCCTTGTAAATGGAGTTCTAATTGGTCTAAATAATAAAAACCTGGAATCAGATATAGAGGAAAATGCTGAGATCAGAAGGAAGAAGAAGCAAGCCGAAGCCACCTTTACCTCATTAGCTTCCGAGCAGAAAAGAGAGCTTGTTCTTGTTTCTTCTCGCCTATATTCTTTGCTTGCCTAGCCATCTCACTTCCCGTCTGTCTGTACAGACCTTCAGACCTCTATGGTTAGTGGCAAGTTCTACCCTCTGGTCTTCAAACAAGTTTTATTTGTACAAGCAAAATATTACCACAGTCCCTGACCTTTTTGCAATAGCATCTGGGAGTGATGCGAAAGAGTTCTTGCAAATACTACTCCAGTTTCTGAGATGGAGAGAGGATTTGATTTCTTTAGATCTTACTGTCATCATGGCTTCAAAGGGATAATGGTTGGGAAATTTAGATTGTCTAAAACTTTAGGAACTTTTAGCTTCTAAATATCTCCTGCAATGTTTGGAGAGTATGAGGGTGGTCAGACATTATTTCCATAATTCTGTTACTTTTTTCATAATTCAGAATATTTTCAGATAACAACCTGACATTTCAAAGTTTTATTCATCACATTTATTGACTTTTTAGGAACCATTAAGAAAAAAGTTTTTGCTCAAATTCAGTTCACGCTCCTCTACCATGTACCTGAAGTGTCACCTAATACATTTTCTGCCTGTGATCGCCAATATTTTAGACAAATCCTTCGGAGTTACCACCTTGTAGCTTTAAAAAACATACAAAGCGTGGTAACTTTGTAAGATACTGCAGTCATGAATATCAGGATAGTCCAAGCAAGGCAAACCTAGCATGAGCAACCAGTGACAGCATGCCTGCCCTCGAGCTATCAGAGTGTCCTTGTCCACTGAAGGGCAGATTCAGAAAAATAGTGCCAAGGAGAACAGGGATTAGGACCAAGAGAAGAGGAACTGAAATATTGACAGTTCATGGCTGGTCTGGGCTGCATTTGCTTGCTTTGTTTGGTGTTTAATAAGATCTGCTTGACTCAACCAATATGATCTGGAGTGGTTTGATTCTACACATTCTTTGAGTTTGTGTCACTGGTCCTCCTATCTCTTTTGAAGGCACACAGGGAAAAGACAGTGGTTGCCATAATTCCACTTAATGCATCCTGAGACGTAACATTTCTACACACACACACACACACACACACACACACACACATTAATTTGACTCCTTACATTTTATAGACATCTGAGGTATATCTATGTAAGATGAATGTGGTAAAATGACTTCATGCTTGTTTTGGTTTAATTAACAGATTTCCTGGTAAAAGGAAGGCTAGGGTGGATTGAGTATTTAGGAAGTATTAAATACTTGCCAGGGAAGGGAAGGGAAGGGAAGGGAAGGGAAGGGAAGGGAAGGGAAGGGAAGGGAAGGGAAGGGAAGGGAAGGGAAGGGAAGGGAAGGGTCCCAATCTGGAACTTCTCTATTAATGTCGACAAATTTTGTATCATTTTATCTAGTGACAATGCTACACTGAGTGAGCCCCATAGGTACATCCCTAGCCCTTCAGTCTGTGTGAGCACCTGTCTTATTTCTCCACCAGCAGAAAGCCCAAAGGGGAAAAAATTCCTTCATCCAATTATTACACTACAACAAAGTAACAACAAATAATTACAAATGAATAATTTCTAATAAAATAGCGATAGCCTGGATATGGATTGATAGTTTCTGTCTCTGAAAATTGTGATAGGACTATGGGAGAGACAGCATCTGAAAAGGAAGGTTGAACAATGGAGTATTGTATAGAGAAGTCAGTGAATAGCACTAAGTCAACTCCCATGAGGGTCCCAAGGTGTGCCTTTCTGGAGTCTTTTTGTATCTCAATGACCAAGGTCAAGTTTATAAGACAGTGCTGCATGTCTAGTTGTGGAGGTTGGAGTCTGTGGCCTGGAATGTGACATGAGGGTCATTATCATATTGTAGTGGCATCTTGTTCTTCCAATAGTTTTGGGGTGCAAGCAATAGGATGTGGCTTTGGTATGAGGACATGACCCCTTACATGGAAGAGGAGGAACCTTGCTGTCTCTCTTGGGTTGTGATCTGAGGATCCTGCATCACAGAATCCTGTGCCTTCAGGGACAGAAGACCTCGGCTGCTATTTACCTTCATTGCATGGGTGTTTCCCAAATAAATATCTGTTATTCTTCATTCGGGCATTCATGGACTTCCTTTACCACACTTTCATATATATTTTATTATATTATTTATTATATTTTTATATTTATTTTATTTAACTTTTTACACATACTACTCTCTTTCCCTCCCCACCACACTTTCATCATATCCCTTCCAAGCATCAGCAACTTTCAGTCTGCTCTAGAGAGTCTAACCCTTCCATGCCTGGATACTAGAATGCTCTAACCCAATGGTGGGGATTAGCAGGATAATCAGCCTAATTGACCAGGTCCCATCCTGAGCACTGTGTCTCAAGGGGATCTAGGATTCTATAGTCTATTAGCGCTGCTGTTTAGTTGTCATTCAAATGGTTAACACGGGGCTCAGCAAAACCTCATGGCTTTAAGATGGCAGAAAAGGATTCCAGAGACAAGTCAGTAGGAATGTGAGCTCCAACATGTGTCTAAGACATGCAAATACAGCAGAAAGGCCAAGACCATTGTTTGAAGTCCAACTCAAGTCCACCCTCTAAACAAGCCGGTCATCAGGCCTTCGGGAAGATCTGAGAGAACAGATTCTAAAGGAAATACCATTGGTTCAGTAATCAGGAGAATGGATTAAATGGATTGGGGACCCTAGAAGGAGTAATTAGGAAACTAAATTTAGGGGAGGCCTGACAACTTATCACCTTTAGGTAAGGGTCAAAGACATTTAACATTTTAACAGCTTCCCTGAGAGGTCTCACCGTTGGGGTTCCTGAAGATATGGATACTTGCACTGAGAAGACTTCAGCTGAATATTCCCACCGTCTGTTCAGATGGGGGGGTGGGAATAATAGGAATATTTTACTAAAAGCAAAGGATTCAGGGAGGCTCTTCTAGCCTCCGACACTCTAGGATCTCTGAACTCATTCTCAACAGATCCTGGGCTGTGGACCTTCCCTCTAAGGGGACCCCCTGGTTTCAGAGCCCATGAGTCCTTCTCCATGACTGGAGAAGCAAGGAATGTGTTAAGAGCCTTAGAAATAACAGCCTCAGCAACAGCCAGAATCTTCCTTCTATTATTCAGGGAAAGGAGTTGTCAGAGCCATCTTTCCCAGGAGGGTCCTGCCAGCCTAGAGAAGCAGATCCTGTGGGGCAGAAAGGATGTGGGCACTCAGCAGTTACCTTGGTTTCCAAGAAATGTCTCCACCCTTCAGTTGCTTCTGAAAGTAAGTCTGTTTCCCTGCTAAAGGGAATGCATGCTGAGTTCTCTTCTCAGCTTATAAATTATGCTGTATTAACACTGGCAACAGTTTCACTCTCTCTGTGTAAACATGAGGCAGTGCAGAATGGGAAGGGGGTGGGAAAGGCTGGTTGCCAGGACCCAGCTCTTTGAATACCGGATGCTGCTCACACCAGCGCTAGGAGTGGGCTCCCCAATACCTGTCTTCAGCAGCCAGGCCCTGTGAATGCTGCTACACTGTGTGTGAAGTGCATGGTCAAATGTGTGATATTTGTGATTCAAGCAGCCCCAAGAAAGGAATCTATTTTCCAAAAAAAAAAGATAGCCAGTATTTGTTTACAACATCTGAGACTCTAATATAGATTCATCTGGAAGGTTATAATGTAATTCCAATATTTCTCTGATCAACTATAAATATTCCATATATAAATTTGAATATTTTGCTTACTTCCTTGTTTACTAGGAAGAAAGGGACACAGAAGATAAAAGCAGAAAACAACAACAGTAAGATCTTTTGTTTGGCTCCCCAGATTTGCTTTAGAGATAATTTATGCTGCTGTGTTTTTGATCGGTAAGAAAGCCCTTTGAAGTAAAGGAAGGACTTCTAAATATAGAATGTACTATTTTCTATTTTTAAAGCTGGATTCAGTAACCCCAGAATTTAACAAGCTGAGGTAGGAGGATTCCTGGGTTATATAACAGGACAGTCTCTTTATATTTATTTATTTATTGTTTGGCATTACAAATGTGAGAAGTATCTATTGATATTGGAGATTGGTGTTCAGTCTCTATAAAAAGACTCCCTTAGTACACAGCTCCTGCTTCAGGTGATGAGATTAGAGACCTAGCTTCTATGAGAAGACTATGAAGTGTAGGATGAGTTTCAGGGCTACTTTAACCATGGACTAAAAAATCCCAGAAGCCCCTTCCTTTGGCCCCCTCCCAGCACAAAACAGGCTCAAGTTTCAACAGAAGAATGAGATGGGTAATACAGGTAGGCATTTGTTTCATCTCAGTACATCTGCAATGATACTATTATTTTATTCCAAGATATCATCGTCCGATGGCTACAGTTCTTCCTTGTTTACACTACTTGGGTGAAAGAAGTTTTCATTTAATATGGAATTAGTTTCCTTCCCTTTGGTCTATATGGTCAGCAAGGTCCATGAGCCTACAGAGGAGTGGCACCCACTGTTTAATTCATGTTCAAAGCCCTGAACCAACTGGAATAAGGAACAGAGATGAGCTGGGACTAAGGACTTATTAGCAACTTTAATGAGCTCTTTGTGGTTGTGCAGGATGGAAGGCTATCATAAAATAAGATGGTTAGGTTTAGGAGGTCAACTGTGATGTCATACCTTAATTAGTAAAGCTGTAATGACTGAAGTAGGATCAGAGACACAGGGCCCTCCTCCACCCTACTCAAGACAGACCTTCCCTTCTCTTTGTCTCTCTACACATCACTCTGTCCATTTTCCTGTCATGTATGATTCCAGTGTGATGGCAACCATCAGACATAGGATAGCCATCAATCAACTCAACTAATACATGGCTGAGAAAAGCCAGGGACTCTCCTCTCCCAGGGCTGAGATGTTCTGAGCTTATGTCCAAGGCTCATTTGCCAGATGGTGTTTCAGTGTCACGGTGTCATGGAAACACTTCATCTTCTGCTTGTGGAAAGTAACTCAGAAAAACTATCTGCAAGTAGGTGACAAGACAAACCAAACTAGTGAATCACCTGATGGATAATTTCTGGAGGGAAAATTATAAGAACCTCAAGTAGAATGTTATATATATCCAAGAGAGTGTCCTACACCTACAATATAGAAAATGTGTTTTAGACTGATGTCCTTTGAAAATTATTATATTTGCATCTATTTATTTTGTGAGCAGGTGTGGGGGGGGAGAAGACAGCTTGGGGTAGTTAATTGCTTCCTTCAGCTACGTGGTTTTTGGGGGTGGCGTTGAACCTCAGGTCATCAGGTGTGATCACAAATGCTTTTACACTTTATTTTGCTGGCTCCTGGTTTATGGGGTTTTGAGAGAAAAAAATTAAACTCTCAAAGGAGTTAAAGAAGTAAACATGTTTACGCATATGTCCTGATATATTCTTTTATCTTTTTCTTTCTCTTTTTTAAAGACAGTTGTTTTATTTATTTGAAATTTCATTTTATGAATGCAGTTGTAAGTCACTGCATGGAGTCACTGGGGACAGAGTTAGCAGCTGCAATGAAAACCATTAAGCCATGAAGAGTCATTAGGCCCAGTCAGGAAATGGTGAAGGAGTGTTCACTCTGCCGTGGTGAAGGCTGCGCCTGAGGCTGCCCTTTTTGCTGGCTTTACCTGGTAAAGGCAACGGGAGGAAAATAACTGGTGGCAAAACAATGTCATGAAAATCATTTTTCTTTTACTTTCCGAGAAATGGCTCAGGAGCCATTTTGGTTGACCAGTAGGATGCGTTCAATAGTTAATGTTCTCTATATTTTAAGTCCATGGCCTATAGCAACATTTGCCCTAAAGCATGCATTCTGACTTCCAGTCAGAGCAGGCCATGGCCTATGAACACATTTGCCCCCCTTTTCTCCAACGTACTTCTGTGTCTTTATGAAGTGTCCTGCTTTAGGAGCTGAACCTGTACCAGTCCTTACCAGGCTTCCTTAGCAATTCATTTGAAGGTGAGTTGTACAACAGAAACAGTAATGGGAGATTCCAGAGCAAGGAAAAGCCCAGTTATTTGTGTTCCTTCCTCTCTCTCTTTGTTCCTGTTCCTATTGCAATGTGTCCAAAGACTCGTGTGCTAAATGTGTTGTCTCTGTGAGGTGGTGTTTAGAGAGAGAACCTTTGGGAAAGTGTTAAATTGTGAAGGCTCTACTCTTACCAGTGAGTTGAACCATTGAGAAATTTGCAATTTGGTTACACTATTGTGAGGTGGGGTTTTGTTCTTTGCTATTTGCTCCCTGTAAAATAAGCAGCTATTCTCTGCCACGCCCTTCCAGCATGATACTGTGCTTTGCCATACACATATTGCACAATGGAAGCAGCCAATAAGGAATGAAATCTCTGAAACCATAAGCCAAAATTACTCTTTCTTGTAACTTGATTTAGCTCAGGCATTTTGTCATAGCAGTGCAGAGCAGACTAACATACCTACTAAAATCTCAACTGTGTCTCCTCAGTGGCTCTAGGTCCCACCAGAATGATCCCCTCCGATTCTCAGCTGTCATCAGACAGACAGACAGACACATTCCAGCTGCTATCAACAGAGCAATTTGGATGCAGACTCTGACATAGTTGGATAATTGATTTGATTTCTTTGGAGTTGTGTTTCTTAGCTGCACATCCCAGTGTGCACACATTGGTAGCTGCAACTGCCCTCCAAGCCCTACAATCTTATCTTCTCTCATTCTCCATGAAGCTCTAAGGGAGGAAGCCAGTTTGTGTTGTTGCTACTGACATCATCTGGCTGTTCTTTCTACTATTCTAGTAGCTTTTAAAACATTTCCCAACATCTCATCTCTCCTGTTATATGGCCATAGGTTTTTTATAGCTGGAACCTAATTAACCCTGTAGCCCACTTTTGTTAGAGTAGTAATAAAAGTTCATTATGTAAAAATTTCTTCTTGTCAAGAAAATAGACTCTCTGACTTGAGTGGAGACCTAACATTCCAGTTGGATCAAAAAACTACTCCTGGAAAGGCAGGGTCACTTTAAGCCATGCTGAAGAGATGGGAGGAATAATTATTCCCTCAATGAGATGCTATACTTTCCCTTCTCAGAATCCCCATTCTCCTATAAGTTGAGCAGCCAGGAGGTTCAGATGGATTTCCCAATTTTCTGAATCCTGATTCAGGAAGATAAAAATTGTCCTCTTTCTTTACTGTTTCTCTTTCTTTTGAATGCTGGTCAGAACTTCTGATAGTTTGTACTCCTTTACTCTTTCTCTAAGGCTTCCATTCCCACCTTGAGACTGTCTACTGCCCTGGGTGGGCCCCCATGCAGTTATTTCTAATGGCAGGACTTTCCCTTCCCACCTCTGTTCTCTGGGCAGCTTCTGAGATCCGCACTTTTCCTTCCAGTGGGTTTTCTTTTAAACTGTCATATAGCTATGCTCAAGCTTCTGTTTGGGTTCATTCTTAAATCCCTGTACTAATAAGACTGAGAACCCTAAGTCAGGTCCCAGTTTCCATGGTACCACTTATAAAAAAAGTAGAAATCCTTTCTACTTATCTGCCATACCGCAGCATAGAGCTCCAAAGCTGGGCAACATCTTCTGAAGATGAAATCATTTCAGATTCTGCCTTTGCTTTCTTTTGCCTCTTTCGTAGGAAACTCAAAGTTACCAGCAATCATGGGTGTTCTACACCAATCCTTGTCTACAGCCTGGACACAGAGGCAATCATTATGAAATTGCTGATCTCTCATGCCTTTCAAATGTCTTGCTAACTATAGTCAATGTGCCTTTTCAGTATCACCAATTCCAGAATTCTCTGAACCTGATTTAATTGTGGCAAGATCAAATCAAAGAAACTTTGTTCAAATTGACAAATAACCTTTCATATTTCTGCTTTAAACCGTAGATGCATATTTTATAAAGTACATGTTACTTGAGTTTTTGAAATATTTACTTTTGTTTTATGTGGGTATTTTGCCTGTATGTGTGTTTATGAACCATGTATATACCTAGTGCCTGCAAAGACTAGAAGAGGGCATAAAATCCCTGGAACTGGAGTTAGGCAGTTGTGAGCTACCATTTGGATGGTGGGAACTGAACCCTGTCCTCTTGAAGCACAGCAAGTGATCTCAACTACCTGAGCCATTTCTCTAACTCCTACTTGTACTTTTTAATGAAAGATCAACTAAGACCAAGGGGAGTTAGTGGAGAGCTAGTGTTAACTGAGTTGGAAGCCTTGTTTAAAAATCCCAGAGAAGGCCTGGGAAGATGGCTCAGTGGATAAAAGTGCTTGCTGAGTTCAAACTCCCAGAGCCCATG